AGTAAAGCCCATGCTGCATCACAAATAAAGCCCACGGCGCACAAGTAAAGCCCACATCGCACAAGTAAAGCCCATGCTGCATCACAAATAAAGCCCACGGCGCACAAGTAAAGCCCACATCGCACAAGTAAAGCCCATGCTGCATCACAAATTAAGCCCACGGCGCACAAGTAAAGCCCACGGCGCACAAGTAAAGCCCACGCTGCATCACATATTAAGCCCACGGCGCACAAGTAAAGCCCACGGCGCACAAGTAAAAGCCCATGCTGCATCACAAATTAAGCCCACGGCGCACAAGTAAAGCCCATATTGCACAAGTAAAGCCCACATCGCACAAGTAAAGCCCATGCTGCATCACAAATAAAGCCCACGGCGCACGAGTAAAGCCCATATTGCACGAGTAAAGCCCACATCGCACAAGTAAAGCCCATGCTGCATCACAAATAAACCCCACGGCGCACAAGTAAAGCCCATATTGCACAAGTAAAGCCCACATCGCACAAGTAAAGCCCACATTGCACATGTAAAGTCCACGTCACACAAGTAAAGCCCACATCGCACAAGTAAAGCCCACGTCACACAAGTAAAGCCCACATCGCACAATTAAAGCCCACACTGCACAAGTAAAGCCCACACTGCACAAGTAAAGCCCACACTGCACAAGTAAAGCCCACGCTGCATCACAAGTAAAGCCCACATTGCACAAGTAAAGCCCACATCGCAGAAGTAAAGCCCACGTCGCACAAGTAAACCCCACGTCACACAAGTAAAGCTCACATTGCACAAGTAAAGCCCACATCGCACAAGTAAAGCCTACGTTGCACAAGTAAAGCCCATGTTGCACAAGTAAAGCATACATTGCACAAGTAAAGCTCATGCTGCATCACAAATAAAGGCCACGTCGCACAAGTAAAGGCCACGTTACATCACATGTAAAGCCCATATCACACAACTACAGCCATTCACATCTCAACACAAACCTCCACAACCAGCTCTGCTATATTTCTAGACCTACAAATGGAAGTTCAGCCCAAAGAAAGATTCATCTTTCCGGCAGACATCACCCAGGTGGTGAAGCCAATGTCATCTTGGAACAAGACCAAGCTCTAATTTATAAATTAGTTTAACCAGCTGTCCTGTTTTCCCACTTTAATTACACAACCAGGGCGACTGAACCTTCTTTAATCCACATACATACTTCCTTGTATGTTTATATGACTTTCTGTTGTGTTACTCAGGTGTTACACAGTCATGAACTCACACCCTCATGGAGCAACACAGGAACAGGACGTACCGTCCAGGTGATGAAGACCTCACCGTTAACATTGCTTCCCCCGCCGATGTCTGGGGGGGCCATGGTGGGAACTGCAACAAGATGAGGACAGAGGAATGCTCCTGGTTCCGAGATCCTAACACCCACCATTTTTACAGACAGCAGAGTCTCGGTCTCTCTCACACAGTAAAACGAGGTCACTAAAGCTCACATAGGCCTACAAAGATTCACAAAACCTGCTGCTCATCTATCTCTCCACTGGGTTTGAATGGAGTCTCAATATTGTACTAATACATTTCCTAGATTTTCCCAGATTTGGGCCTACCTGTGTTTTGTGTGATATAATGCAGTAACAAATCCCAACACAGGCCTGGCGGTACGAACCCACCTGCATCGTAGGTGCGGATTTTAATGGACGGGATGCTGGGCTCGCCCATCCCCAGATCATTGACGGCGATGGCGCGGAACTCGTAGTAACACCAGGGGTACAGGTCCACCACGGTGGTCATCTCCTCACTACCCTGGACAACTGGTGGAGCTGAGAACAGCAGATGTCCAAACGGAAAGGGGGTGCATTTCAGCCGGCCAGTCGGAAATCGCGGCCAGCCAGCCCTCCCCGTTCTCGTGCTGCGCAGCGTGACACTCACAGGTGCTGGCATCTCGCCACTCCTCGCGATCTGGAGTGAACTGATCCCTGGTCTGGATGATGTACTTGATGATGGGACTGTGGTTGCTGGTGCCACGAGTCCACACCAGCCTCACCGTCTTCTCCCGGATTTCTTCTGCGCGTACACCACCTGGTGGTCCCGGGGGTCCTGTGCCAAACAGAGCAGTGCCATTACAGAGAAGCACAGACGCAACCCTGTCAGCTCTGAGTACTCCCAAGTACTTTGTACTTAACTGTTGGCATATTATATCTTTGGATATGAATACACAGTGATCAAGTAGCTGTGCTGCCAGTACTCAAATGGCAAGAGGAAAGACCAGTTTGCTTCAAATAAACACGTCTGCGTAAAGGCTTGGGATTAAAAGATTGCATCCATCATTACTGAGTACACCAAAGAAAGTGACAAGCTTTTTAATCCCATAATTCTGTTCAGGGCTCCGTGGAGGTTCTCCGTCTCCAAAACTTTTAATTACATAGTGCTTGACAAAGAGCCCCGGATAGTTTGTGCCAAAAGGTCGGTTACTGATTCAGCTGCTTAGCACTCTGATCCAAAGCTTTACAGCATTTATGCTTTTAATACTCTAACCGTTTACAGTTGTGTTTTTCTGACTGAAGTGACCTTACAGCTAAGCGTCTGCCGCATGGTTTCATTCTAGCCGGAGCTCGAACTTCTCAGTTACCAGAGCCGCATACTGCTTGCCGCTGGCTGCTCCACACAGCTACATTTTTATTCCTGCTGCATAAGCCTTAAAAACTGGCGTGTGAGTATAAAGACGGCTACAGACCGAAATGACACTTATCCTAAACCTCCCGTCTTCTGTTCTTTTTTCCCCTCTAAAAAGCAAATTCATTCACGTCTGTCAGCCCCATAATTGGGTGATGATGTGATTTGGCTCCATTTTGTGGCCGATTACTTTCCTGCCTTTGCCCTGCCCACAGAGTATGAGAGATGCGTTGAGTTCACGGGCGTTAATTTTGTCCGTGTCTCAGCACCTACAGACCAGTTCCTGGATGTCTTGCGGCAGAACCTGTACGCTTGACGTTCTTAGTGCCGGGTGGATTCACTGTGTTTGAAGGAACATTGTTAAACCAGCTCAGCAAAGCTAAACCACAGATCTTTACAAAGAATTTGGTGCAGTGTCTCCTGCCATCCAAAGGGCCCTGTTCTCTGTAATGTCCCCGTAAGCAAGGCCTTACCTGTGACCAGACCCACAGTAAGAACGCCAAGTAGCAGCTCTAACCACTGTGATCAAAACTCGATGTACAAACACAACTGCTCCAGCCAGCAACATCCCTGATGCGACACTAATTGCCATGGCCCTTACTTGGTCATTTTTGATCAACGAACTGAAAAAACTGAATACATTTAAAACCAGTCGCCTGGAAGACATTCAGTCTGTGGTTTTGTGAAGACAGCCTCAAAACAACAATAGTCCCTCACTGACGGCCAAGCCTAACCATTGCACTGGGCCCGTTTTCCAAACATCAGATCCAGAACTGCATTTAATGGCCCTGGCTTTGCAAATTGTTTGGAACAACAGGCCTCGGTGAGGAACTGTGCAGCGATTGGCAGACAGACAAGCCCCGTCGAATCTGTAAACCTCAGTGCTGCGAGCCGGCCTCTCCTGACCGTCTGCAGAAGACGCTTCACATGGCCAAACATAACCTGCAGTCAAACATGGACACAAAAGGGACTGTAGGGGTCAAACATGGACACAAAAGGGACTGTAGGGGTCAAACATAACCTGCAGTCAAAAAGGGACACAGAAGAGACTGTATGACCTACTAGTCACGTTCAGCCTGCATATGAAACCTATACTAGCATACAGCTCTACTGCAAACTCCTGTCAAGTTCCTTTCTTGTATTTCCAGGGATCGTTGTCTCAGTTTTGTGGTTTGCCAACTGACGGATATGAAACTGAAGTGACCTTAGACTGTACGTGCTGCTTAATGCATTATAACAGGCACAGCTGTCTCCCTCACATGGGATAACAGATTCCTGCTTATACACTAAGACCCTCATTAAACAGATTATCGATGCACCATTCAGTGCTTGTTCCAAATGAAGGGTTATGTGATGTACATACAATCTTATACGTTACGCTGAATGTGACCAGCAGGTTTCCCTGTATTAGGCAGGACCTTCAGCTGAGTCCATGGGGTGATAGAGAGGTTTACACCCCCATTCTGACCACACTCCCTTAACCCTTGGGGCCAATCACGATAGATAATCAAAATCTAAATCGTGCAACCCACCTTGTAGAAAAATTGTAACTAGAAATGCTGCAGAAACTGGTGCTTGTATCTTTTAGCATTTTCCAGCAGACATGCCAGTCTCTGGTCGACCAGCTCTTTCTCTTTCTACTTGTGTTTTTGCAGTCCAAGGACTCACCATTGACGATGAGGTCCGCCCAGGCTGTGCTGTTGTCCACTATAGTCTGGGCAGTGCAGCTGTAGCGGCCGGCATGCCTCAGCTGTGCATTCTTGATCCACAGCTCCCCACTCGACTCTCGGGTCTGAGCGGGACAGAGGGCCAGGCAGGCTGCTCAATCGCAACATCCTTCACACGTTATACTGAGAGACAGGAAACTTTCAGCCAGGGGCGTAGCTAGAAATTCTGGGCCCCCTCAGACAGGGAATCCATGCCCCTACTGCACCCCTGGGTAGGGCCCCTGTAAAGTGCTGGGGCCCCTGAATCTGCCGGCATATCCGTGCCCCTACTGCACCCCTGGGTAGGGCCCCTGTAAAGTACTGGGCCCCCTGAATCTGCCGGCGTATCCGTGCCCCTACAGTGAATCTGCTCCTGGAAGTCAGACATTATGAAGACACGACCAAATTAAAAACTAACAGCTTCTTCAAGGGGCCTCATCCAACTGACATTAACATTAACCAGGGTGGAGCCTAAGTGAGGGCTGTGGCCTTGTGCTGAACAGACTGAGCAGCCTTTCTCTACTGAGCCTATGACTAATGGTTTCATTAAATCCTGAGTTGTGAATTCAGCTTTGCTGTAGGGATGATATCAGAGCAAATCCGTAAGTGGGGCACATCTCAGCATGGCTCTCTGCAGATGCTGGCTGGTCCAGCTGCCCCTAGAGGAACAACGGGGACCTAAAGCTGCAATTTTCCTGGTGAAATGGCTTCTGTTTGATATAAACATGGAAAGAAATCTGTTCACAAAGTATAATATAGGATATAAAAAAGCAAGCAAATAGTAATGCTGCTTTAAAAGGCTCAGTCAAATTCCTACAGTGAACCTTTAGCCACACTGCAGTCACATATCAGGCCAGAATCCTCACGTACACCAAAGTGATTATGAACTGCCCTCTACTGGTAAGACAGAGTACTACAAAAATCCAAGTTATTATCATTAGACAAAACTTGAAGCATGATTAAAGAAAAATGCTGAGTATTTTGGCGTTAAATCAGAACAAACTACCTACCATGATACGCTCGTAGTACTCGTTCTCCCGGTCAAAGTCGATAACGTGTGTATCCACAGACCAGATGAAGGTAATGTCCAGGTCTGGGTCATGGAAGGCGACGCACTGCAAGCGAGCCGTCTCCCCCACACGCACCTCCGTGTCGGATGGGGCCACGGTGATCTGGGTGGCCTCTGTAACAACAGGACTGGTATGACTGGGCTGTTCCCATACACTGAACCACGGAGACAAAGTTCCTCACAGTTCTGATATTTCACGCAAGATAACATGCAACAGCTTTTCCTTTCAAGAGAACGATGACAATAAATCAGAAAGGAACCCAGCTTTATAAAGGCTGCAACATGCTTTTCCGGGAGAACCCCAATGCTGTTTTTATGTACTAGACCAGGGGTCTCCAACTCCGGTCCTGGAGAGCTACCGTCCAGTAGGTTTTCTATCCTACCGGCTTCTGATGAACCACAGCTGTTCTCAGGTAAATACCAGGACCAGGTGTGGCTCATCAGAAGCCAAGTGGGACAGAAAACCTACTGGATAGTAGCCCTCCAGGACCGGAGTTGGAGACCCCTGTACTAAACTACAGAGGTATTGTGAAAACAGCCCTAACCACTAGAGGGCATGAGAGCAACCTCTGGTCCATGGACCAGTGATAGAAGCCTGATCATGGGGCAAAAATTACTTGGGGGATCCTGCTGATACTTTGTAATGGACAACAGCTGAGTCTTGTGGTCTAAAGATCATTGCTGGATGGAAGAACAGAAAAAAAAGGTTCAATGTTCTGAACGATCTGTTACGTCTTGCTTAGCGACCTGTAGCTGTCACTCGTGGACATAAGGACTGTTCTCACACCTGTGATGGACAGGGTGCCGGTGCTGTTGCCCTTGCCCCTGTCATTCTCCGCGAAGCAGGTGTACATCCCCTCATCTGCCTTTGTGGCGTTGAAGATCTCCAGGCTCCCATCATCCCAGACACGAATCCTAGTGCCACACGGTGGCCAAAACAGGCATTACGTGTCACGGAGCCCGAGTCACACAAGACCCGCTCCCAGTCTTATGCAGACCTGTTAGGAAAACAGACACTACAAGGACAAGCATGTGGCTAATTAAGCCACCTCTGGGTGACTGGATAACAATAAACATTCAAAACCTTGTCCTAGAATTATCAGGTATGTTATTTGTGTAGCATTTGGTCAGCATGCAGGACACAGATGACACAGCAATTTTCTGTGTTTTTACTGATTATCTAGTCTTTGTATTCAAGTACCTAAGACCTTGCTGATAAAACTGCTTAAGTCAGTGTCCTTCCTTCCTTTGTACCGCCTGCTTGCCCCTTCCACCCCCCATCTTGCTCTCCCTTCTCCAGTCCCTTCCTCTCTTCCCCTTGAATTCCTGCCGGCTGACCGTGACGAGTTGGTCAGCATCGTGGTTCCTTTGCTCCAAGTGATCTTGGCCCTGGGAGCAGCCTTGGGTTTGCACTCGATGACCACACGGCCATTCCTGGCTCCCAGAAGCCTTCTCCTCACCGGGTTGTTCTCAAATGTTGGAGGACAGGCTGTGGAGGGACAGTCCCATATTTTATTTGAATGCAATTCACACTTTTGTAGGTTACATACTGTATATGTAAACTAGAGGTATGCACAGGAATGCACTGACAGATATGTGGGTGTCAGCACAGGGTACAGACCCACCCCCACAGAAGCGAGAAACAGCCCCTGCACTCAGGCCCACCCGAGAGACACACTGACCAATCACACGCAGCTCGGCGTTGGCGTAGATGCTTCCGTGCCGGTTCTCGGCGATGCACTGGTACATTCCGGAATCCTCGAAGGTGAGTGAGCTGAACTTCAGCTCCCCCTTGCCGTACTGCAACGGGAGGGTCAGCAGTTGAATTCACACTCCCTGCCGGCCTGGGGGCCACCAGTAAGCTAAGCAAAAACACAGTATGTAACTCACTGTATACACAGTTTAAGATGGCCGTCCCAGACATCAGGAACGTGAAAATGCACTCTATTTGTATTTGTATTATATTCGCCTGGTATCAGTTTGAAATCCTTTTGGGAATGGGACGAGGGCACATCTGTGACACAGCGCCATGAGGGTGTCATCCTCACCGAATATCCATTTTTCAGCCAGCGGATATAGGGCTCCGGTCTTGCGTTAGCTACACACGACAAGGTCAGCTCGCTGCCGATGTCCTTCTCTGTGTCGTTGATGTGTGCCGCCCACTCAGGGGCGGCTGGGATGGAGCGGAGGCGGAGAGACAGTGCAGAGCCACATTCAGGGTATGAATACAGCTAAAGAGATCCAGCACAGCGCTGGATACAGACGAGCATAAAGGTGGTGCTTCTCGGAGCTGTACCTTCCACGTAGAGGTAGGCCTTGTGCCAGTCCTTGCCTTTGGAGTTGAGGGCCTCACACTCATAGTAGCCCTCATCCTCTATCTGCACGTTGAAGAGGTGCAGCAGCGCCCCGGCCATGGTTATCTCATGATTGGCAGGCAGCTCGGCATCCAGCTTCCGCCAGCGGATCTCTGGGATGGGACTGAGCACAGGGCCGCCGTCATTCTAACTTGCCTACGGTCTTGTATGTCTCCTGCCCAAATTGTTTGATGTAGGCAACGCTGCCCGATTAATGGCCACGACAATGCCTAGGGTCTACAGTCCCGACCCACACATACTGTCCACACTCACACCCAAGGCCGTATGGTATTGTTTTCTTCAGACAAGAGGACAGACACCAAACAAAATCTCAGAACTCAGCAAAGTGTTTCAGTAAGAAATAATGTCCATTTAATGCCATAACTCACTTTCCCAAGGCAAAGCATTCGAGGGTGACGTTCTGATTCACCAGGGCGTAGGTTTTTGGAAATTTTACTCTTATGTCAGCCGCATACTTATAAACCGTGCCTAAGGGAGAACAGATCTCAGATCAGTGAAAGTCATATATAGCATACATTCACTGAGGTAGCAGGTACAAATCAGAAGATGCTCATGATAGTTGCAAGTGCATTTCTACATCACTATCCCCCTCAATCCAAAGTCAAAGAATAGCCACATCCGAAGTAGGCTGCTGTCATTTCTAGATAAATACCATTAGCATGTGTGCTCGCATCTTTGGGTTGACCTGGGTTGCTGCGTCAGTACTCACGCTCTGTTAGCGGGATCAGAGGAATGAACGGGCTTATCACACTTTTGGAGACGGCTAAGCTGGACATATAGCAGGAATAGTTGCCGAAGTCTGATGGCTCCACTTTAGAGATGTACAGGTTTCCAGTGGTCTGGGAGACAAAGCGCCGTTTGTCGGGGTGCAGGAAATTGGGGGCCTCATTGAGAATCCAGCGGAACGTCACATCATCTGAGGAGCAACACATACTGGTGAAGATTGAGTGTGAAAAAATATACACAGAAACCCTCAGCTGAAAGACTTAGACTGGGACTTCATTAGACTGGGAGTTTCTAAGGAACTTTTCTGTCTATCCTCCCAGTTGCTTAGTGACAATTCACTCTCTGCCTTATTACTGTATATACAGACCTCGCTGGTGGTCATGAAGCATTAGGAGTGCCACACCAATCAGCTCTAAGCATATTAGCCTAGCGATCTTTTAGCCTTTACTTTACTGCATGAACACATTCTGGTTGTCATTAACAGCCTAGCGTAGCAAACAGCCATCGGGCAGCTTACCTGCGTTATGGTCGGGTGGTACACACAGCAGAACCACCCCTTGTCCCTCTCTCACTTGTACTGCTTCGCGTTCTTCTGTGGAGAACGGATTCAAGTCTGGGAAAGGCGGGGTTACCCAGTTAACAACTTCAGGCCAACCAGAGGACACATTGTATCTTCTGATGGTTAACGTGTGAACGTGGCGACTGTATGACTACACAGAAGAATTTAAAATACTTTTAAAATACTGTAGATCTTGCAGAGATCTCTGCAGAGGATCTCCTCCGTGACCAACAAGGCACCATCACCAAACGCGTTACCTGGAATGTACATGAAGAAGTACAGCTCAGGCTCTGGTGTTAAGAGAGTCGTACTCTTGACTTACAGCCAAATTTGACGATGGCCTCCTTGCTGATGATGATCCCGTAGATGTTCTGGGCCACACACACGTACCTCCCCGTGTGTTTGCTTCGGTCGGGGTTGGTGACCACCAGGTTGCCACCTACCAGGCTGTAGTGCTCGTCCGGCTGCTCCAACAGCTTAATCTCCCAGCTGTTTATCTTCCATCTGGAGAGGAAAGAGCCAGTCATGCCCCCAGATCAGTACCCACTGCTCTACACTGTCTACATCTTCATGGGCCATCATCTCCTAAACAGTCCTATATTTGGGCCTGTTTATGACACATAAAATGAACCATAAAACATCTGTAGGTGTCATAATTAAGTTGATGAAATATTTTAGAAAACGAATTTTTATTTTTTTATGTATTTTGTAGCTGCATTTATTTGTTAATGCACTAAATATTTAGTTGGTTTTAGTTTTAGGTTATCACACTTATTTTGACAACAGGAAGTGAACACTGCAGATAAACAAGGTGTCAGTCCATTGGGGACTGGGATACTGGTTTGGAAGCCGCTGACTGCCTACAGTTCTTCCCCCTCTTTACCTCGCCAGTGCTGTCGCCTTTTGCTTTGCATTAACGTTTCCGATATACATTCTGATGAATCGCTGGCTGTTACTTGTCCGCTTCACCCACCTGTTCATTACCCGCCCGCCTGCCTGCCTTGCCATCTGCACTGTTCTCACCTGGATCTGCTTGCTAAAGCTATGACATTGTATATTTAATATCACTGCATGGAGTAAAGACCAGTCAGCGTCTGGTTTGGTTGTTTGCTGGGGAATCATTTGGAAACTGGCATCACAACATCCGTCATGAATCACGTCCTTCATTAGGATGCCGCAGGATTAAACGGCAAAAAAGGTCAGGCCCATCAAGCACTGCATTGGTTGGGGGGGGGAGGGGGGGAGGATTTGGGACAGAATAATTCCTGTCCTTTTTCTCCAGCACCGTGACAGTAAGTTGATGGATGATGGATGGTCTGCTGAATGGAAATCAGAATGCATGGGCAGAGGATGAGGCAGGCAAAGGCAGGAGGACAGGCAGCTGAAGCAGGGGTGTGGCAGGGTGGGGGGTCCAGGTCCACAGAGTGCTTTACTTATATGTGACAGGAGGGTTGGCTCGGGCGCGACAGTTCATGGAGAGTTTTCCCTCTGGAGACTCCTCTGGGTAGATGGTGTCCATGGGCTGCTCCTCAAACACCGGCCCGTAGCCCGTCGCGTCGTCTGGGGGAAACAGCAACGGGGTTTTAGCAAAGGCAGCGGAGCGCCGCCTGGGGGCCGATCGCAGGAGTGCATGTGACTGTGAGGAGTACAGCAGCGTGTTCGTTAGCATGACAGACACAGATAGACTGAGGGCTTCACCGCAGGGCAGAAGAGTCGGGAATAACAAAAACATGCTTCGTTAGATCCCACACTGGGGGGGAAAGACAGACAGGCGGGATGTTCAGCCTCATTCAGAGCAGCATTTCAGAGTTTCCAAACTTGCCAGGAATTAGACAGTTCTGTCACTTGATATTTGTGAAATCAACTTAGAGGAACGTTAGTCTCACTGTTCATCTTTGGGCTGCATAGGGAAACAGCCCAGAGAAGACAGGGCAACATGCAAACTGCAGACACACAGCAGGGGCGGAGATCAAAGCCCAACCCAGGAGTGATGATCAGCGCTGCCCAGTGAAGCCCTGCACCGATCTGACATATTCACACTGTTCAATGATCACATCATCTGGCAAAGAAAAATGGCAACAGAAGCTTATCTTTGATGAAATAAATACGCAGTGCTTACCTCCGTAGATTCTGGGCATGTCAAACAGCAGTGCTGCTGCGAAATATCCAGAGAAGAGCAGTAAAAAACACAATATTACGATATTGAATCATTCTGTTAGAAAACAGTTTGTGTCAAAAGTAGAGTATATTACCTGCGCATGTAAATAAATAAATTGTAGACTGAAGTTAAAACTTAAAACTTAAATTTTCAAGTATATTACAATGTCAATGTCATCTTCCCAGAAACACCATTAGCAAAAGCGATTGTGTGGCACGTGTCTGCGGCATTATTTTTTAAGTGTTTACTCTTATATTCTTACTTTAAAATGTACTAGTCACACAGCAGGACAAACATTAAGTAGACAAATAGATGAAAGCCATACAGGAATGCAGTCCTCTCTCCTACGCTGGAACGAAGGGTAACATCTAAACAGGGCTTGTTCATCACCAAAGGGTGGCACCTTGTGCTTTGTAGGTTACGTGGACCACCATTATATCCGAATTATCTCAGGTTATGATTCCTCCTGTCCTACAGGTGGAGCTGTCACACGGACTCACCTGTGGAAGGGATGAGTAGAGAGAGGCTGAAGAGGAGGACACACGGGGGTGACATGGTTTCTGTGATGGGTGAAGGGCAAGAGCAGCACTAAGTCAGTGACCTATAGAGCATCGATGAGAGACCTGGATTCCTGTGGGAAAGAGACAGATGGCTTCTGTTACAGAAATACTGTACAAATCATTACTGACTTTACTCTGCTGGGCAGAAACCTTTACTTCAGAGCAATTCACACAGCTTATACTTTACACTCCATAAATGGGTGATAATTGTGAAAGATCTTGATGAGAGAGAGTCAACATATTCAAGAGGAATTACTTTATCTACAATTCACTTACGTCTGTGTATTTATGTGGCTCAACATCATTTGGATATTTAGAATTTATAAAGACTGACCCTGCGCCATCAAACCAAACTGCAGACAGCTAATATGGATCATTGTCTGTAGTAGCCTTTCCAAATACCCACTGAATGGCATCATTTGGCAAAAACATACAGCAGTTAATTCCAAGAGTCAGACATGAGGAAGGAGCTCATTGCAGATGAACTATACTGTTAGCGAACCTCATAGCTTTAATGACCTACATTACGATGAGACACTGGATGAACAAACAAACATTCAAGGCTAATGCACTACAGCCTGTGAATCTCATCACAGAACACATCACCATCAGAGGACGGGAGAAAGAGGGACAGCTCTCTGCTTTTTTTCCATTTCCTATGCTGGAAACATCCTGGTGCAACACTGGACCTGTGCGTCCCTGTTTTTGTCTGTAAAGGGTATTTTCTACACACGGACCACAGCAGAGCACTGTGACCTACAGTATACTTGCTGAGGTGGAGTCCTGGGGCAAAGCTGATCTTATTGTGTGACAAATTCCAGGAGAATATCTCCGAAATGGGAATGGTGTTTAACGCATTGTTCCATGTAGCTCTGCCACAGTGATGACAGTGTCAGATGTTCTTAGAGGAGTGCATGACATACAGTAACTGGACCATAACATCTCCGGGATTCCCGAAGGAGGCAAGGAGGCCAGCAGATGCTTCACCGAACCTGACTCAGAACATCTAAGCAGGAAACGTGTTGCAGTGCTGAATAATCCCCAGCTCCTTGTCAGCCATAAGCCCCACCTTCCCTGCTACAGGTAATCCTCCATGTTTCAAATCAGAGTCTTGGGCTTTTATAACCTCCACAGCTGAGGGGTGGGTAGCAATCTACATGAAGACAGCTTTATAGATGTTTGATGATGACCTAAGGGGAGAAGCAGCACCCTGGCTATTCTTGCACATCGAGGAGATGCAGTGAGCTGGGTGAAGACGTACAGAAAGGGGCACATTTGTGTGACACCTCCCAGGGCCCGTAGTGGGCATCACCTGCTGCATGTTGGATTCATTCTGACCTTTCAGATATACATGCTATGCTATGCTATGCTAAAGAGCTCACACTTTCTAAACACCAGAGCCATCTGAACTGTATTTCATCAGCCATGCAGCTATACTTTGCATGATTACAATGAAGTTGAATCTGTGATACACACCACTTGCAAAGTTCAGAAGCATTAAAATACGAGCCCTACCTCTGTGTATTGTTTCACAGACTTTAATATGCATGCTCAGTCTTGCAGAACTAAGCTTCATTCTGCAGCTTGACTCCCCGTGCTAAAAATACGCTCCCATGTATATGATGTAATCTCTGAGCAGGCAGATTCTGTCCCATCCACGCTCAGAGGACAGACACTGAAGCTGCTAACCCACCTCTCCCAGAGATTAAAACATGAAAAAACACGACCATGGAAAGAGGAGTAAACATCAACAAACCACCAAAGTGAAATCAGAGCAATACATTACCGCAGTGGTTTCTAATAGTACATTGCAATGTGCGTCCCTTTTAGTACATTTTATTACAAAATAAAATGCAGCAGCTATTTCATTGTGGGGAAAATGGATGATAATCACAGTTCTAATGCATAATATCCACTGTCTGACAAACCCTGATACGATGTCATGAACCTGGACCTGGTGCTCAGGGTTCGAATCTGCCGAGAGCAGACATGGGAGCGAAACGCCGGACGCAGCAGGATCGATACACGGCTTTGTGATACGATCCCAGTGATACTGGGTCAGCTCTGGACAGACAGCGGCTCTCTCGGGGCTTTACGGACCCCGCTGTTAAAAATGACCTTCCGCCTTCAGCTGTTTCATTTACTTTACAGACAGTTTGGGATGGAAACAAGCTCGCTGATCTGCTGACCATGAGCAAAACAAAACAGGAAATGAAACGACCGGATCACTGCAGAGTCAGTAGCAGGTGGCAGACATTTACAGAGCCTTTGAAGGGGGTGGGGGAGATGTTTCAGGGTCACCATTTTACACACCAGTTATACTCTCTACCTCAAAAACAGGGGAGATGTTTCAGGGTCACCATTTTACACACCAGTTACACTCTCTATCTCACAAACAGGAGAGATTAAGAACATTCTACACAACTATATTTAAGATTTAGCAAAAAAAACTGTAGGAATCTTTATTGGTTTTGCCCACCGCATATAGTATGCAGGGTTGGTGTCGTGCCCAAATGAGCCATTGTAACCCCCTAAATGCCCCCTCTTTTATTTCATTTTAGTTTAATTTTTTCAATAAATGTATTCATCCTGAAACAAATTAACCTGCTCAGTCCCAGGGGTGTGGCTACAGACCGTCCACATACTCAAAGCTCCACCCGCTATAATAAAAAAGAGGAATGAATGAAATGAAGATACAAATGTTGCCTCTTTTCTAATTAAAACCATCGTAACACTGGAACCTCTGCTTGCAAAGGAGCAGCTCGCCAGTCAGCAGTGCAGCCAGCACACTGCAGACACGGGCAGCCAGCACACTGCAAACACGGGCAGCCTGCACACTGCAGATACACAGAGCTGCATCCCGCATCCGCCCCTTCTGTGCTCAGCCGCCACTGCATACAAGACACAGCGAATGCTGCAGAAAGGAGGCCACCCCGTGGATTCAGGTCCTCGAAAACAGCAAAGGGGGAAGACTCAGGACCCTGGACGGCCTCGACACACTACCGGGCTGTTCCCAGCTCAGCCTGAATGCTTAATCTATTCCGGAAATAAAGTCAATGTTTTATTTTTTCTGAGAACCTACACCTTTTGCTTGAAATCATTTAGAAAGAGAACATTTCAAAGGGATCACATCCACAAATAAAAATTGCATAAACAGGTGCAAATAGGGGACAAATGCTAAAGCTTTAATCATTATGCTTGGTATCACCTTCTCACTCCAGCTCAGATTATAGGTCAAATTCTGTCACTTCAGCTAAAGCTCAGTGAAAATGTCCTGCTCTGAGACCAACACCAACAGGCTTAGATGAAAATAGCCAACCAGCACTGGAATACAGCTACCAGGAAATATATCATGCATGCACCCATCCATCTATCCATCCATCCATCCATCCATCCATCTTCTAAGCCGCTTGTCCTAGGCCAGGTCATGGGGGTCCAGAGTCTTACCCAGAGCCTATGGGCACAAGGTAGGGAATAACCCAGCATAGACTGCCAACCCATGGCAGAAAGTGCCATTCAAACAGTAGATTTCTGTTCATGCGTCTGGCCAAAAAGATCTAGGCTTCTGTATCCTGGCAGGCTCTCTGGAAAAAATATGCAGTTTCTCCCAAATGAGTGATTTTCTTCTCTATAGTCTGATCAAAGATGGTGCTGTTTTATTGGGACTGTTCTGTTTATGGGGAGTCAAGTAGCTTTTTACAGAGGGAAACATCTCCAGGTGTTTTCCTTCCACAGCATACAAAAGGGGGAGAATTAGTCTCTCACTTATTCCAATTAATTCTTGGTAGTTAATAAAAATGAATTTAACAGCAGGGCATGTATAACGGCAGACAATGCAGCCCTCCAGACGAAGGGGAACTTTATTAGCAAAACAAAACTGGGCTGGGTGATATGGAAAAATATTTTATCATGATAACTTTTTAAATATGAAATGATATTGACAATATCACGATGTAATTTAAGTAATTATTTCTTTACTTCATTGCTCTATTTTTGCTTAAACTTCCCTTAGAATTGCCCTTGAAGAAACTGAAGAGACCGTAAAACGAAAATCTACTTTTAAAGTATAAATCATATGAAAATACACCTTTGTCGTATGGCATAAAGAAGGTGAACAGTACATTTTGTTGTTAGGTATTTTTCTCAGACTGCCTCACTGTTTGTGCCAGGGAATGGGTTTGACTAGGACTGGGCGATATTCCCTAAAAATATCATCATTGTATTTTCACAAGATTTTTACAATATCGATGTTTCTCACAATCATATGTAGAAAGCAGCAAAATATGACAGGAGTTTTTCTGATTATGATTACTTACTAATACAGCAGCACCATGGAACTCAAATGCCTCTAAACTCAACCAACTCAGAAATCGAATGGATTTTTTTCGACTTGTACCTCGACCGAAATCTTGGAACTCAACTGTTCCTGCTAAAACTTGTATGGGTTGAGACGCGTTCAACTCCATCAATACAGACCTCAAACAGGTTGGTAGAGAAAAATCTAACTGCAACTCAACCAAAAACTTGGAACATGACAAAACAAAACGGACCTTCTAAAACCTGTACAGACTGTGATGTGTCTCTGACTGGCTGACAAAGGCAAACGGACCTACTGGGACGCTGACACCTATGAATCGCTCTCGGTCTCATGGCACCTCTCGATCAAGTTTAATGTGCGAAAGCTGTATTCCTGTGTTCAGTGTGATTTTTTTGCACTTTATCTACAGTACATTCAGTGATACAGTAATCATGGCCCCTAAGAAAATGAGCAGTGATAGCAGCAAACCAAAGAGGAAAGTAGTGAACTTAAACTTTGTTTTGAATGACCTTGCCACAGGCAGAAGTGGGTAATTCCGATCCAGAGAGTAAAAGATCAGACCAAGATTCTGTTTCAACCAACCAGCCGAGTATAAAGAGTCACAGTGACAGAGTACTCAACTGACTGGTTGCCAAAAAGATCTTGGTCTGGACTCTCTCTGGATCTGAACTCCTCTGGCTACAGGTCAGGCTATACATAAGAACATAAGACATTTACAAACGAGAGGAGGCCATTCGGCCCATCAAGCTCGTTTGGGGAGAACTTAACTAATAGCTCAGAGTTGTTAAAATCTT